CGCGCATGGCTGGGTTGTAGATTGTCCAGATGTTGGGATTGCAAAAAGAGCGCTTAGAAGGGACGCGCTATCCTCCATGCGTGCGCAATGAATTCGACGTCTGCCCGCTCAGCACGTTCTAAGAAGATCACGCAAACAGTGAAGCAGTATTGGATATCTTATATGGGCAAGGATGTAAGGCGGATAAGTCAGGTTACGAAAAATAGTGTCAAAGCCCAAGGGGAAAGTTGGTAAGACTGTGGCACCTTTCCAAGCCAAGTTGCATTGCGGTTCGTTTCTAAAAAGTCATATCGAACCCCTATTTCAGATAATAGTAATGCAAACAATCAACCAGTCTTATTGATGTTAATGATCTTAGCTAAAGGATGAGCAATATGACTTTTGATTTAGCAATTAAGTACTTACGGATTCTTAGCATTACTCTTGCTTCCATCATGTATGATCATTGTGTATCGGGCAATAGTTGCGTTATATCGTTCCACTTCATATCCTGCTTTTATAGTCCTTAAAACAATTATTGTTACACATATCATGCAAACTACTGTGAGTTGAACGGCCTCTTTTCTGCTAAGTGAATGTTTTGTTTTTTACAAAGGAGGAATAGTGTTCCGTAAACTTAACCAAGTGCAGTAGAGCGCAGCGCGCAAAATGCGCTACATATGGTTTGTGCACTCGGATTCAATACTTACCTATTGTAGAGATCATCATCTTCTCCTCCCCAACCCCAATACCGATTGGAGAATCCGTTCACATCAAGAAACTGATTGACAGTGAAAAAGGTGCTTCCGCCAAAAAGTGTGTCGTAAAACAATCTGTCTGATAAAATCAGTTGTCTTGCCTGAGTTCTGGGAACTACCAAACTCACTCATAATTGAATTTGTCTATCGCGACGGACATATGCTGAGGATTTTGAGTAGGACATACATGCAAGTTTCTTCTATCCTCTGGTAACAAATCTACATCGGTAAGCAAAACGCACTGCCAATCGTAGAGATTCATTGCTTCAATAAAACCAGCATTTAAAAGCTGAAGACCTTTCTAATAAAAGGCATCGAAGAATTTGGCTAGTAAACATTACCTTGCCGCGATTGAATGTCTGCCCAGCAATTTGTTCAACTACTATGATGGAGTAATCCAACTTCTGCTCGGTTAAAAACTGATGCATGTTGTTCAAGAAGACACGAAGATGAACTTCTCGATCGCGATACGGGACTACTACAGCGACCTAAGCAATGATATTGCAATGCCAATGCTAACATTAAAACTACATTGCCATTTTCTT